ACAGCTTATGTGTCCAGTTGTCAAAAAAGTCTCAAAACGTTGTTTCATAATTTTTTTTAAGAAGGGAGGTCTCACTTGCTGACTTTTTTCCTGAATAAAGGTTTACTTTTTTATTTTGTTTTTATAAGCCAGAGACTGAAATTGATGACACGATTTCATGATTCAAAAGTACTTGGATTTGAGAGAAATCACAAATACCTCTTCACTGGCAAGTAATTCACAGTAGCATCTTCAGCTGAAGACTTTAGGGATTTTTATAGTGAGCCTTTGACACATTTCAGTGTGTGTAGTATACCTGGGCTGGCCTTATTCATGCTAACTGGTGATGCTCAGCAGGAGCTGATCTGTCTTTTGTCATCTTTAGTGTGGCTCTGTGTTCACACATCTGCTGGTTTAAAACTAGATTGGATGGTGGGCAGAACTCACTGACTTTGTTGTGACTGCAAGTCAGACACATATTGTGTTTCTTCGCCTAAAAGAACAGAAGACAAATGGGGATTTGCGACAATCTGCATTAAGAGGTTTATTCACCGTGAGTGTTAATGATAAGTGGAGAAAAATAGCATGCCAGAATGTGGTGGCAGCTTTGGCTGTCAGAGTACATATCTCGTCACACCTCTGACCAACACAGCTGTGCTGTCAGAACACGATAGAGTTTGCCTTCATTGGGAAGAAGATGAAAATAGAAGGAAGCAACCATTGGACCTGGCGAAAGCTCCTGTCCAATTGTAGCTCCCGGGCTGACAACCCATGTCTCCCTACCCAAGTTTTTCCCCTCTTTTGGAAGGTCTGTTACAACTGTCTATCATCCTCTGGACTGCTTGGACATTTCCAACCACGATCCCAATGAGTGCTTCAGCAGTTTGTGAGTTTCATACAGTCTTTCCTGAAGAGGGAAAATCACAATGAATGCTCTAGTGAACACAAGGAGAGTGAGCTATGATAATAAACTGTGACAGGATTAGATATAATTCTATAGCTCCACCATCTCAGAAGACCCCAAATATGCCATGACTAATTCACTGGTAAGACTGTTGCCTTTTCTTTTCCTACACCTTTTTTGTTTTAAAATAGGTTGAGTTGGATTTTTAAATTAAGCAAGTGGTGCTGAGTCAACTTCCCTTATAAGTTTTTTTTCAATGGAAGGCTCAAATGAACTGGTATTTTTAAGGTTTTGTCACCACTGTTGCTGCCTCCATCTCACAGCCACTATCACTAGACAAATACAATGCATTGTGAGCTATTTAATTGGTTGTAGATTTTTTTAAAGTTCTGAAAAACTCATTTTTTTAAAGTAAGACATTACTTTAATGTTAATTTTAATTTTTTTTCCCTGTCCATTCTTCCAGTCCATTAAAGTTACTTAATCCTCAACTCCATTATGGATTAAGTAACTTTACACTTAATCCGTAATGGAGTTACAAGCCAGACACTCAGTGGTTCTCAGCAACTCTGAGCACAAGTTCAGACCACACTTCACCAGTGGGTTGTGAACTGGGAGGAAAGGTGTACATTCACACTTACACTCATCATTGTTGATGATTACTGGCTGCCACAAGGATATTTGTGTGGGAAGTGATGGGATGGAGTTGAGCTGCCAGCTGTGGGAAGTGCCTGCAGAAGCACATGGCAGTTCAAAGAAGCACATGACAGCACAGAGAGGCTTGTTTCCACCTTACCTTGGGGGAAGGAGGTGCCACATTGTTGTGTTGCATCAACTGGTTCATTCCATATCCCCCCCTCTCCCCCTGGAGCCTTGTGGTGGTGGTCTTAGCCCGGATTACTTCCTTCCCTCACCCCTCCCATCAGTTGCCCCATTGGCAGTGATCCCTTACCTCCGCACACCTTCCCCCCAGGCTTAAATTCTCCCGCCATCAGGCATTCGGGCTCTTGCCCCTCTGGGACACCACCTTTTTTCCCAGGCAGCTCCTATCCAGAATAAACTGGTACTCTGGTCTTGAGAGGAAAGAGTGTCTCCCATTTTTTACTTCTGTCCTTGTGAGACTGAGAGGGGCCGGGGGTCCAGAGCTAGCAGGATCAGAGCCCAAAGGCCCCAGGGATCAATCTTACACCACATGACAGAGCCCTGCGGGAGAGGAGCCTGCTGGCAGCTGACAGACGGGTGAACAGCACGTGATCACCCCATAGGACATTTAGAAAGTGTGTTGCTGATGTAGCAACATGGGATAGGTCATGTAGTGAATATTACCATGTAAGGAAATACTGTGCCTTGAAAAAGTGTATAAACCCGGCTCATTTCTTTGAATAAACAATTCAGATTCCCTGCCGGTCTGGGTCTCTGTCTCAGTCGTTAAACATTTGGATGCAACCTTTCGGCTATGGAAAAGAAAGAAAGTTGGCTGCCTGTGTTACACAGAGAAAGAGTCAAACATCTAGGCAATCTCAGGAGCAGGAGGTGTCCCTCATCTCTGCAGCTGCTTCTGATATGATTCCATTTGAAGTAAACAGTGTAGATTTTGGATAGAGAAATTTTTTTTCATTTCTCCTCTTAACTAGAGCTACTACATTGCGAAGGGCTATAGAATCAAATATACAAGAGTATGTGCCTGATTTTGCAAGTAAAACCTTTCCTAACAGTTACAGAGAACAGCTGTTTCCCTATAACGACATAGGCATTTTATTAGCCCCCCCCCCTTCTTTTTAACTGTGCTATATAATTGTTGTCTCCCCTTAATTTTTCCTTTCTATCATCACTGTTTGATAATTGTTTTTATGTAAGATATCTTCATTGACTTGACATTTCTCACAACAGCTAGAAAAAAGTGATTTGTTTGAACTGCAGGAGGTACCATGAATTAATAGCTGAATTCTATATTGTGTTCTCATTAAGGGGGAAGACAAGGCATCTTATTTATGAGTAACACTTTTACCTTGTAATTTTTCACAGCAAGCAAAGATAGACCTGGACACCTATGGTGTCTCAATCAGAGGGTGACAGACAGTGCCATAGCATACACCCTGTCTTCAGCATGCTGCTGTCAGTCACCAGTGACTGAAGCTATTTGTGGTCCATAATAATGCACAGTTGTATTGGAGGAGAAATACCATCACTAGACAAATACAATGCATCGTGAGCTGTTTAATTGGTTGTAGATGTTTTTAAAGTTCTGAAAAACTAATATTTTTTAAAGTAAGACATTTTTCTTTCTAGTTTGTTAAAGTGATTATATGGGTTGTCTGTATAACTCTCTTTCATGCAAAGCATCCTTCTTAAGAATTTTTCTGGGACTGTTGGCAGGAGAGAAGATACTAACATAGCGGCTTTCCAAGTTATGCTATTTACTGTTAGCATTTGGAAACACATTGGACATGGTAAATTTTAGAGGGATAAGAACAGGGATATGTTGTATATAATCACCCAGTTGAGACATAGTTTTTCATTAAAGTATTCATCAATTTATTAGACAAAGCTTAGGAATATAAAACAGTTGGAACAACTGCTTCAGGACAGAGTACCTGGAATAAAAAGACTACATCCATTGACCAGTCTTTCCTTTTACCACCTTAAAGTCACAAACATTATAGAGTTCATCAACCACACTCTGCAAATGAAAACCTTGGTCAGAGTCCCTGGTGAGGAACTTGTATTTGATGTCAGAAGGAGTAGAATGGAGGTCTAAGCAATAATGAAAGCAGTTATATTGCTGCTAGAAAAATAGCTCAGGACTAAAGGTTGTCATCTTTTGGGTTGAATTCTTGTCCTTTTAGAGTCCATGTCGATTTTGACACTATCGTTTTTATGATCAGGATTACACTACTAATATGTTTTGACCCAGCTTCCATTAAAAAAAAATTAAAAGAAAAAATGTTACCCTCCTTTTTTTATATACTCATGCAATATGCCCACTTGCACATAAAGTGGCTTGTGTAACTTTTATTTCTTGCCTTTGGGCTGAATTTCAAAATATTGTAATCTATTTGGCTTTTGTGACTTTCACTAATTAAACCATCCAAAGCAGATGGAATTACAGAAATTACAGGGTTTAGAATACAGTCCTAATTGGTTTACGATCTATGTGACACTACAGTGCCATTCAGACTGTGTAATGTATAAGGACTGCACAAAAGAGAATCTTCACCAATTAATTTTCTTAAACTCCATTATCTGCAATTTTTGCTTTCTCTTAATTTCTTTCTGTTAAGCTTTTTCCTGATGTCCTTGTTACTGTGGGAAAAGAGAAAGTATACCATTGCCATACTGGGCCTTCTTCCTTCGGCTAAAATAACCCAAACATTTTTCTTTTTTTTTTTTTTTCTCATCTGCAATGGAATAGAGCAAGAGAATAATAGAATAAAAATGAGTGAACTTAAGAGTAATAGACCATATTAGAAATGTAAAATAATCATTGTGTACTCTGATACATTTTAAAATGATGGGGATTTGAGAATGGATAGAAAAAGATCACATTTTTGAGAATGTAATCACTCAAAGTTGTAATAATGCTGTGGTTCCCTTGCATAGGAGGAAAAAAAAAAATCCTTCTGTTTCTTTAAATTATCTCATTTTGCCATTTAGACATGATTTTTAAACTCACGATTCCTTTTGTTGCCATGGTAACAGGTTTTGGCCCTCGCGGTGACAGAAAAGTATCTCAGTTCTTGTTCCTCTTTGAACACATATGTTTCTATGTATAGCTGAACAGGCAGAGGGAAGGGAGGTGTGACAAGATCACACCTTTTGGAGCAAGGTAACACCTTGTGCCAAACCGAGGCTGTGCTGAGGAAATAGCCTGAAGCAAGGACAGATTTATCCCTCCTGATTACTGTGTGGACTCATTCAGACTCCAGCTTTAATGATGCCAGATAGGTTTGCTCCCCCTGATCCCATCCCCCTGGCATCCCCTCTTTCCTAGGTGACATTTTAGGAATTTTTTCTATATGAAGCAAGTACTTGAATGGAATCTAGTTTTAGGGGATTCCTATGGAGCTGGCTGCTAGCATTTTGCAGCATTGCAGGGGTCAATTAAGAGAAACAATTATCTGGTTTTAAAGCTTTAATAAGAAAAGCAAATCAAAACAGAAAAAGCAACAACAACAGAAATGGAATAGAACAGTAAAGCAAGACGAAAAAGAGGGAAAGAAAAAGTGGACAAAAAGTAATGTTAAATAGCATGGAGCATGACTAATGGCACAAGCATGTTAGAATCATTGGGAAAATGTCCTTGGAAGACAAATGAATTTTCAGCAGAATAATTAACTTAATTAACAAATTTGCATGCATATTCATCAGGCTATTGAAGTCTTTCCAGCACAGCTTGATGAGCATTGGTGTAATAATTGTCTCATTTACATTCTGCAATCTACTACAATTTGGGCCATGCAAAAAAAGCCGACCTCTTCCTTTTGACTTTCTTTAGGACCCTGACCCTCTCAACAAATGCATGCAAACAACATGTAGTGTCCAATATTTAGCCTTGTGTTCCATGCTTGATCAAAAAAACCTGCTCCCACTCTGCTGTGCTTTCCTGCCTTTTACTTCCCTCTTCCTTTGCTTTATTATTTTCCCTTTGGCCCACATTCTCTTTTTCGCCTCTGCTTGCTCTCCTGGGTAAATCTTGGCACCAGTTTTGACTTCAAATCTCCTGGGCTGCCAGACTGCATCATGTAAAAATTGCCATTTTCCTCTATCTCTGCAGGGCAATCTTTAAAGGCAGTAAGGTGTGACGCTCCAGACTGGCAGCTTGGCAAGAAAGAGCCCATGGATACCAACACACAGGAATCTGGAGGGTTCACTCTGACAGGCAGTCAGTACTGGGAACAAAAGAAATTGAAAAGAAAAATTTTATTTTACATTTTGCAGGCATATGGTCACAAAACTAGCAGAAATATATTTAATTACTGATATTGTCAGTTAAGCAGAAATAATGTACCCACAGCAGTACCTTATTTTTTTTTTCTCCTTAGATTATAATAAAGTGAATAAAAAGAGGTGTCTAGAATATAGTTGGTTCATTGTGTTGCATTTCACATCCATTTACATTTTTACCCCAATCATTTGCGAATAGAATCTAATCACTTGATTTTAGCATGATTTTCTTTTTAAATGAGAATTAATATTTTTAAATGCAATTAGGCCATTTACTGGCATTTTTGTTACCTTGTTTTAATGCAAACTCTTCAGCCATGCAGGATTGAGTCCCAACAGTGTTTACAAATAATATTAGATATGCATACTGTGCTATAAGTGAATTGACTTGTAAGACACCAGCCTGAATGATTTGTACCAAATGTAACTCACTGTGTTACTTTTCAGGCTATATAACAACACTGTACAAGCTGTTTTCCTCAGAACATAAAATCATAGTAAAATATGTTCCCTGATTTCTGGTTAAAAGATTCACTGCTAAAAGAAATGCAGGACCTAAATCAGGATGGATATGGAAGGTAAAAACAGTGATTGAGGGTTGTGATATAGAATTCCTAAACCTATTTGCTTCTTTTTCCATCTTCATCACTTCCCAGATCCATGTATCTAGACCTGTGCTCACACCCTGCACCACATTGAGTAAGGCAATACTGATTTCCAGCTTGTTTAAATAAAATGAGGATCCAGAAATTTTCATATTCCATTATTTCTGTCTCTTCAGTAGTTTCAGCCAGAAAGTATGCTATGGGTGTTCCCCATGAATATCAACAGAATTGGACCTTTCAGGAAATATTATGGCCATTTCCTTCTGTTTTGCTGCTGGGATTTATACAGCAAACTGCAGCCCAAACTTAAGCAACCAAATATAATTCTCTCCTCAGTCTGATGGAATTCAAACCTGTCATTAACCAAGCAGGTACTCTAATCAACCAGTTGTAGTGTGTTTTGGCAGGAGAGGAGAACATTTCTGCATCTCTTCATTGCAGTGGTTCTGTAGTTATACTTAAATACCAAAAGTATATCCATGTAAAAGCAATGAAGTTGTTATGGTAAGATCTCTTTCAAGAATGTAAGCTTTGCTAACTTGCTTGATGTAGGTGATTTTATTCATTAAACTTATAACAAGAAAAAGTTAGAAAATATTTAAAATTAAAATTTCTCAATTTGCTAGGATATTTATGGCCCATTCAAATCTGTAAAACAGATAATGCTTCACACCACAGAGACACTATCCAAAAGTTACAACTTGGTACTTTTTAGCTTATAGAAAAGATATTTATATATATATATTTAACCTTTGAACAGTGCAGCATGTCTTCACCAAATGGTGAGTTCTTCTTTTACAAGTATTGGATGAATTTCAAAGACTTTCACATAATGTGATTTTCCTGGTTTCAGCCACAATAGAGTTAATTTTTGCAGTGGCCAGGAGGGAGCATGGATAAGACTTGAAGGTTATTCTGGCCAGGCTGGGAGCTGAGGGGGAGTGAGAGTGCGGGTGAGGAGTGGGAGTAGGGCAGAAGCAGGGGGGCAGGTAGGAAGGCAGTCTCTTTCAGGGAGAAGGAGTCCTTTTCAGGTAATAAACTGGAGAATACCATTCCTAAACCACAACAGACACGAATTAGTTTGCCAGTTAACGTAGTTTAAAACTGGGTCATTTACAGACTTTAGCACCTGTGTCAGTTCAAAAGTACCAAATGGTCCTAGCAGCATAATAACTGTCATTTGAGACCTTTCATATAAAGCTAATTCATACCTCAGGTTGTGGCCATGTTTGAAGAACATAGGCTGTAATTAAGCAGTTATTAATATTATTTTTTCCAGTTGTAGTTACTATTACAGGCTAGAATAGATGTGCCATGCTCAACAGATTTTCTAACTCTTAAATAGAGCCTATATAATACAGGTAATTCTGGCAAGAATCATATTTCCACCCAATGTTAATACATTTGCAACAGTTCCACTGATTTCAGTGGTTCTGAGGAAATCGCACATGTCAAGAGAGAGTTGCTTGTTCCATTTTTTCACTGCATTTGACAATTACACTGCTACATGGAGATGGGCAATTTCAAGGCTCTCACAACACGTCTGCTTTCACATTCCTGCAGATTGAGTCAGTAGCACCAGGGAGAACTGAGAAAGGAATCAGTCCTGTGGTCACAAACAGAAAAATTATTCTTTTTTTATTGAAAGAATAACCTCATCTGAATTATTGCAAGAATATTCTGAGAGCATCATATTGGAGCATGGTGGAGATTTTCTTGTCTTGAGTGCTCTAACTTAAATACTTATTTTGATAAATTAATCATTTTTACTTATACTTGAGACACTGTGTAGTTTAAGATAAGTGAAACCCATGGAAATATTTTAATTTTTAGCAATTTTACATCCTTATATTAATTTGAAGTTTCAATGACTGAAGAGAAATAAAAAGACTGGCCAAATGCTTATTTTTATATGAAATTTACCATATTTGTTTTGTGAGTCTGTAATGTTGCTAAAAATATACATATATACTTAAACATTATTACTTTAAAATTAAAGAATAGAAAAGAACAATGAAGACATTTTACACTGAAGTTTTAAAGCAAGCATTTAACTTCTCAGAAAAAAGCCCCAACCTTTGTCAGCTGAGATTGTTGGCAGGCTTCAACATGACTGTGGATAAGTTCTGTGGGCTTTTATGCTGGTTCCCAAGTTGCATTTTTTATGTAGCTGCATTTTCTATTCAGATAAATAAAATTTCCTTTGAAACTGAGGCTGATAGACCTGTATAACATGAGAGAGGGAGGAAGCCTAAGGACTGGATTGGAGCTCAAGATTTTTCTGCTTGTTATTCCACCCATCTCACTACAAACCCAAGACTCTTCCACCTGTATAATCCATGTGTCAGTGTGGAGTGTTGTCCATTTCTCTCAGTGGTATCTAAAGCCAGCTGTACGTTTTTCAGCTCTGCAACCTTACTTGATCTACCTTATCCCTCAGTAGTTTCTGCAGCTCACCTCATAGGACTTTATACAGCAGCTTTCCATTTTCAATGTATCCCTACAATACAGCAGGAACTATCATTAAAGAGAAGCTATTGCTTTTCATTTTCTGGTAGTTGGTTATGTGGTAGGGCCTCCTCAGCACATGATACATTCTTCTCCTACTCTTCTGATGATAGTCTGACACTTCTATCTTTTGTCCAGTTTATGATGAGTTCCAAGATCCCTGGGCAATTTGGATTACCAATTCAAGCTTGCTGTGTGATCCATGTCTATGTAGCATGATGTGTGGAAGGGACTTTACCCTTTGAACACGCAGCACAGCATTGGATGTCAGGGTGAGAGGAGGAGCTGTGCTGCAGTGACAATCACTTCTGAAGCAGCTTGAGCCCTTTTGTAAGCTGCCACTATCTCTTTTTCAGTTGGATTTTTACAGCCTCATATACTTTGTATTTCTCATCCTAGAACCCCAGGGTTCATCTTCATGTCTTCCAGGATACCTTTTTGCCAGAGGCTACAGGAAGGACCATTCTCCCCATCTGCAGTGTAGAGGATATTTTTCACATTTTGTCCAGTCCTGACAGGCCCAAGGGCTGCTGCATGAACAATCTCCTGTTTAATTTGCTCAAAAGATTCTTGTTGTTAAGGACCCCACTTGAAATTATTCTTCTACTGGGTCACTTGATGAAACGGGTTTACAATCTGACTGTAATTTAGAATATGCATCCTTCAAAAATCCCCACTGCCAAGGAAAGCATATGTTTCCTCCTTGTTGTTTGGTGGGGACACAACTTCTTTTTATTGGACACATCCATGGGAATCTTGATGATGTCCATCTTGCCATTTTACTCCTAAAAACTGAATTTCCTGGGCATCTGCCTTGACCTTACTTTGCTTTGTGATGGACCTGGAGGATTTGGACTATCTTCTCCCCTTTCTCAAAAGCTTCCTCTGCTGTGTTGCCACACACAATGATGTCATCAAAATATTGCAACTATTCTCGCCATTTCCAATTCAGTCTGGATGAATGCATGGCAAATTGTGGGACCTAGACTCCAGCTCACACTGAAGGTCCAGCATGTCCTCCACAGCAGCACTCAGTGGTGGATGAGGGTCACAGAGTCAGGATGGTGCAGTATTGTTGATGATGCACTGTTGTGGCAGTGATTGGTATGTTGTTCTTCCACCCTCATCAGTCCCACAGCAGAAGAGTCCTTTGAGAGACCAGGCAAAGTATTCAGTTGTGTAATTTCCTCTGTCTCCACAGCACCTATCCCAAAAGCCCAACAATGCCCTTTTGAGTCCTTGAAATAGCCTCTCCTGAGTTAATCTTTGTCAAGGGTGCATGGGGTCTCTGGGAAAATCAGAACGGGGTGATTTTGCCATTCATTCCCAATCAGGCTCACCTCAGGTTCCAATTCTGTCAGCTGTTGGGACCCCTCTGTCATCCCAGAAATAGATCATGCCCCTATGGATCTCGATGGTATCAGGGTACATTGTGTGCCAGTGTCAACTAAAGCCTTATTCCTCTTGTAGGTCTGATGTGCCAGGCCATGGGAGACACACAATCCAATAGATCTGATTCTCCCTCTCTTCCACATGGCTGGAGGCAGGGCCCCTGTAGTTCTGGTCATGGCAGTCACTGCTCAGTTCTTGCAAACATGAACTGGAGATCTCTTCAAGAGGATCAGAAATAACATTCAGCCCTTCCATTCTGTCTGGAGACTTGTCCAAGGATAAACTGGATTATCCTTGGAGAATTTCTGTTGGTGGTTGTTTTTCCTCTCAATTCATGTACCCCTGCTCTTAGGGCAGAGCTGAGTTTTCCATCCTGCTTTCTCATGTCCTCTCTGTGCTCATGCAGGTAAAACTGCAGGTTACCTCATGGTGTGTCCCACTCGCTCCAGCAGAGGGGTACATGCTCCCAGTAGCAGAGATTCTGGTCCATACTGGCAGGGGCATGGGACATTTTCTCTCTAGGTTGCTTGAGTCTTTCAAGCCTGTCCTCAGTCTTGTTCAGTCTTTTCACAGTCGAGGCACAGGTCGGTAGGGAGGAAAAAAGAACTTCATATTGTCAAAATTTGGGTGGCCATCTGAAGCAGTGTTTCTTCTTCTGTCATGGACATCAATGCCAAAACGGTTGATGTATAATGATGGCACACTCCCTAGAAACATCTGTCACATGGATTGTGTACACCGGATCTGATCTGGATCTACAAGGGACTGTTTGTTATTTGAGTCCCTATAGATTGCCTCCAGCACAGCTAATTCTTTCAGGTCCTGGATGCCTTTCTCCATGGCATTCCACTTATCTCAGTGCACTATTAGGTCATCCATGAGAGAATACTGTTCCCTCAAGCTTGCAGATTCTGCCTCCATAGGCTGAGAGTTTCTGTCCTCTTTCCAATCCCCTTGCCAATGCCTACATCCTGGAACAGGGATCCCAATTGCTTGGCTTCACTACCATCTAGTTTCATGTTGCATGTTGTGATATCCCAGCATCAGAACAGGTAGGTCACAATATTTGAGATGGCTGAAATGTTTTTGCATATCTTGCAGCTCACCTGAGTGTAGGGATCAGGTGATTCTCTCTGGCCCTGCTTCTTCCTCTTGTTTTGAGTGCCTTATTCCTCTTCATCCCTCACTAAGTGAACTAAATTTGTCTTGAAGTTCTTTATAGGGGCACCTGCTATCAGCACAAGTTGTTCATCTGGTTCAGTTGCAGTTTGAGTGGCCTCAGTGCCTGTGGGTCTGTTTTCCTTCTCTTCTCCATGAGAGTGCTGTCTAGTACAGAGCACTGTCCAATAAATAGTAGCCAGGGCCCAGCAATAAATTGTATCTTTGTGGAATTGCAACAGCATTCTCCTTGCAAATATTCTGTCACTTTATCAGTGTCTTAGAGTTGTTCAGGTATGAAATCCCAAGTAATTGGAGCAGATAATTTCTTGAGGAACTCAGCCTTTTTCTCCCACATTCCATGCCACTCATGACTATCCACCATCAGGGCAGATCTCTGAATGACCTTCCTATAAACCTCTGTCCTGTATCTAACCATGGTGTGGACTGCACCGAGGAAACCTGGCAGATTTAGTAACAACATGCTTTCCTTAACATCCAAAAGGAATTCTCCAAAGCTGTTGTATCACGCCTGAAGAAGGAAGAGGGGGTAAGAAGCTGGGGAAAATCATATTCCCCTCACAGGCTGGATGTGGTAGTTAATGAATTCCCAGTGGTAGAAGCCACGTTCAGGGCAGGAGAGTGACACAATACAAATCCCAAAGTACCATTTTTGCCCTTTATGTTATCATGACATAAATTGGTATCTTAAGGTATATCAACAAAGTTATCCTGATTCCTCTCGCCACTCTGAAAAAGAGCACCATGGTGGGGACATATTGAATATAGTGAAACATATACAGGGTTAGATACCTCAACCACATTAAAAGACTGAGCAACATTGTAACCAGAGGGATCCACAGCTAATATACAAATACTTAGATCAAAATTGTTTCCAACACATTCTGATCAGACCTGTTGTTATCTCAACAATTCATACCGCACATTGTGTGCCAACTAAAAACTGTCATCATTTAAGCTAATACAGAATTTAAACTTCCCACAGCTCTTCCCTTTTCCCACCCCCTCTAGTGAGAGAGAGGGAGAGAGAAAAGACAGAGATTATGGGTGTCTTTCTTGAATTGTGGAGACCAGAATCGAACACAATACTCCTCACTAGAGCACAGTAGAGGGGCAGGATCACCTCCCTTGACCACACTCTTCCTGATGCCAGGATACCATTGACATTCTTGGCTGCAAGGGCACTGCTGGCTCATGGTCAGCTTGTCATTCACCACTACCCCAAGGTCCTTCTTCACAGAGCTGCTCTGGAGCAAGGCAGCTTTCAACCTCTGCTGGTACTTGGGGTTATTCCTCCCCAGGTGCAGGACCCTATACTTACTTGTTTTGTTGAACTTCATTAGGTTTCTTCTCAGCCAATGCTATCAAGGCCCCACTGAATGACAGCACAGCCCTCAGGTGTATCAGCCACTCCTCTTAGTTTGATATGATTGGCAAACTTGTTAAGGATGCATTCTATCTTCATCCAGGTAATTGATTAACAAGTTGAGTAAGACTGAACCCAATATTGGTCCTTGAGGAACGCCACTGACTACAAGCCTCCAACTGGATTCTACTCCACTGATTGTGACACTCTGATCTGTGCCATTCATCCAGTTCTTGATCCAGCTCATGGTCCATTAATTTGACCTGCATTTTGCAAGCTTACCTGTAAGGATGGGAGACAGTATAAAAACCCTTGCAGAAATCAAGGTAGACAACATCCACTGCTTTCTCCTTGTCAGCCCAGATGGTCTATACTCTCTACTGGATTAACCAGCTGACAATCTAACCTGTATCTATTGTCAGCAAGAGACCAGAATTTCCAGTCCCTTCCAGAGCTGCATGCTTCTATTTAGCATGAAAAGAAGATTCCCTCTACACTCACTCTACTGGTGAGTGTAGAGGGAATCTTCAGTTTACAAGAAAATTGGTACTTTAGAAGATGCCTAACTTAACAGAACAGAGTAATAGGCAGATTCTCAAACTTCTTGGTAGGATATTTTTTTAACACCATACTTTGTGCATTTTTGTCATGCATTGCCAACATGCCATATGCTTATAACACATGGTAAAAGCATGGGTAAGAAAATGTAATTGTGACATGTTAAGACAGCTCCGGATCCATAATACTTCTGAGCTAAAATATACTTGTGCATTTGTTATGTAAGTTTACAGGCCTTTTTTATCAGTCTCTTTGTATGCGTATCACTAAAAAGGATAATGTACCTCAAACTTAGCAATTCCCAAGGAGTGGAGCAGGTGATACCAGCCAGGGTTTTGAGTCTGCAGTTCGTAGTTTGCTACTGATTTTCATAAGCTAGAAGCTTTTCACTTGAGTATCCTTTTGTCAATATTCTGTTCCAACTACACTGGAAGAGCAAATTTAACTGATTGTTTTTAAAATGTTTAAAAATGACATGCAGGTACAAAAGAATTGAAGTGCTGACTTTATCATTTAATTGCATAATGGCCAGCTTTGTTCTTCTGTTTTTCTATATGTAAAGACTAGCAGCTCTTATCTCAAAGAGTTTATACTGTGAAGAGATAATGGAGAATATTATGGTGGAGAAAAAAAGCTAATGAGTGATAAAGAAGATTTACCTAAGGTGAGTCACACAACACACAGTGACAGATTTGGAATAAAATCCAGGCTTCCTGCATTCCAGATCAGTTTGAGACATACTAGATCTTTCTGTCTTCAGCTACCACTGTTAGTCATCTCCCTGGAGAGATGAGGAGACTAGCAGCTGTCCTCACATACTGGCATATGGGGCAGACTCCTCTTCAGAAGTTGCTGCAGGAGTTTGTCTTTCTAAACGCGCCACCGATAAAACCAACTGCATTTGAGAAAAGTAGGCAATAGAAGAAAATGCATGAGAAATTGCAGTTAGGGACCTTAACCTACTGAGTCATGCAGGAATGTATACTCCATCTGTGACTGAGCAGAGAGAGGGGTTCTTTCATGGAAATATTCAGAATATAGCTAAGATGCTTTAGTCAGGCCAGTCTTACAGGTATACATGTTTATAAATGGACATTAAGGTTTGGAAATTATTTCAATAGTTGATTGAAGAACATTTTATTACTTGTTCCCACAAAAAAACAGTATTATAATTGCAAGATTACCTGCCACCAAACAATATGCAGACTTCTTAGAGAATATGTGTATGATACAGTTTTATCAGTGACACCGAAGCACAAGACACTGTAAACCCAGGGTTACTCTGTTCCTTGTCTTTTTCTTTGTCTTCTATCTCTCAGTAGGCCACTGGACTAATCACAAGCTACAAGAAGAGAGAAGGAAAGGCTATCCTTCATTTATCATCACTTCAAACTTATAGCCCAAGTGGTCACTCAGTTCAGGCAGATTTAATTCCTTCATCTAACAAGAGAAAGTAAAGCCAAGGCCAACATATGATTTTATTCATTTACCATGCCCCCAGAGGGCTCATAATGGCATTTACTAATACCTTGTTGGCAATGATAGTGAAATACTCCAGACTTTTACCTCCAGAGATTTCAGCATTCATGGTGACATGAGTGTGGATTAAAAAAAAAAAAAAATCAGAGAACTGTCTTTACTGTTTGCATTCTTGGCACTTAAGACATTCGAACGTGAAGTTTCAGGGATTGCTTAAAGAGATTGTACTGAAACGTCAGTTATAGGAATACGCTTTTCCCTGGCTGATAAGAAAGAAGATTTTAAAGAATTGGTGCTGCCCACAGCCAAAACACATAATGTCTTTATCAGGAAATGGTATGTCCCATACTCCTTTGAAGTGCAGGATAATGCTATCCACACTGAAGGAATTAATTTTCTGCATGGTAACCCTAGCTCCAGGTTTTCCCCACAGGGTACTTTGCAAAAACAGTAGAGGGTGTACCTTTGTCCCCCAAGGACATTATTTTTCTCCCTGCAGAATCTGTGTATGTACATATTAACAAAATGTAAGGCAAAACCCCTCCACTAACAAACATTTACAGGTAATAAGTAAAACCCTCACTATACAAGGCCTTGCATTTTCTCCTGTGGTGCCCACTGCCTTTAGGACAGTGTTGATTGAAGTCATGCTAGAGAAGCTGCATGCCTTATCGATGCCTGTAGAATTTTTTTTTTACAATTTTACATTACTTCATTTTTCAGTATTGATTTTTAATATTTCTCCTTGACATCTGTATGTTTTAGTTAGTCCTTAACCATACTTCTTCCCTTTTTGACTGGACACGGGGTAAATATACAATGCAGTCCTGTATATAGGAAACCACCAGTAAGACACAACATAGGAACATACATGGACAACAGAGGCCTTGTGTTGGTTTCTAGACACTATCCACACCAGGTGACTTGGTGAGGAGCAAATCTATTCTCAGTTCTTGACTGCTTCTATTGAAGGTGCTCAGTTGTTGTCTTTTTATTTCTAACAAAACCGTTCACTTCAGAAGGGAGATTGTAGTAATTGCATCGTGTTTGGACCCTTTTGGAACTCACTTAAATACAAACCTCATCTGTGCAGAGCCAGCAACGTGGTGGTGGTGGTGACAACCTTTGAGAGCCTGAGAACTCAATAAACCCCAAAGCTATGCAACCAGACACAATTATTGACTCACTTGATAGAACAAGGATCGGGACAGAGGTGATAGGAGGCTGAAAAGAAGCAGCTAAGACTCCAGGGCTTCACCTTACCTCCTTTTGTTTTGTGTTGAGTACCCTCAATCCTGAATTGTGCTCATCTCCTTGGTATAAGAAGTCCAGCCTCCACTCCAGGCTCCTGGGCTTTGAATGCATTTTAGGGTACATTTGCCTAAAATTTCAGGAAAAGTGAGTTTCAGGAAAGTCATCTAGCATGGAAGACATAGAAAAAAGGAAAGTAGTTTTCTGGTCAATTATGAGTTTTTTTAATGGGCCTTTCCCTTTCCCTTTCCCTTTCCCTTTCCCTTTCCCTTTCCCTTTCCCTTTCCCTTTCCCTTTCCCTTTCCCTTTCCCTTTCCCTTTCCCTTTCCCTTTCCCTTTCCCTTTCCCTTTCCCTTTCCCTTTCCCTTTCCCTTTCCCTCTCTTCCCCTCCCCTCCCCTTGCCCCTGCCCTCTCCTTGATTGAAAATAGACTATTATGATACTAGTTATTAGGGAACTTTAAAAACAAATTACCTGTTTGGGACACTATTATATTAGAATAAATTTGGCAGGCAGTTGCTGATTAAATTCAAGGTGGACTTATCTCAATTTAAGAACTTAACAAAGAAATTAAGATTGTTTATATCTTAAACAGATAAGGCTAAAATCAATTTTCAGTCTTCAGTACTGGTGCTAGGTCCAGTGCTCTGCTCTCTATTCTATTCTCTATCTCTTCCTTAAGATATTATCCTAATAGTCTCAGCCTCAAATGGCAGTAGCAGTGTCATAAGCCTAACCAAAATGGTTCCCTGAAAGTGACAGTGAGCCTGTCAGTCCTCTAGGAGAGCAATGGGAGCCTGCACCTGGCTGTGATGCAACTTTCTAGGATTAAATCCCCTAGAACACCATGGAAGAGTGTATAATGAGAATGTTGCTCTTTTCATTTTGCTGTCAAATTCAAATCTGAATCCCTTCTGTTGTCGAGGTTTTCAAACCTTGAATTTTAATTTTGATGGATTTACCACCAACCACCCTTTGCACACAGTTGTTTCCATCTATTTCTGGACTTACTGGCTGTGCTGGGATAGCAAATGGTAGGAGAAGGTATTATCTTAAATGAGCTACATGAAACAGATTTCTGTCCGTGTCCCCTCGGCATTTCTTGATAACAACACTGTCAACAGATCTAAACATTGTCAAGATGTGTGAAAGAAGCTAAGTTTATGTCTGTGAACTTTTCAGAGAATGGGTTTCAAAAACTTTTCATGCTTTTATTTTATCAACAAGAACAAAAAATTTCCATAGAAAGCAGATACTTTTAGTAAAATTTTTTTTTTGTCAGGACACCAGTTTTCTCTTTTGTTGAGAAAATGTTAACAGGCACTTCTTGGTGATTTAGTGGTTTGAACATTTCAATATATAAATTTGCATGTCTGCTAATGGAAGGCAGTTCAGCTTAAACCTTTAAGACTTCTAGTGGATGGTTGTAACCAAGTTTTCACCAATCCTTTGAATTTTTTATAATACTAATGACTCAGCCCTCAACACATGCTCCGTGCAGTAAATATTTAGGTCAACGAGAGAACAACTTTGTATATATAAAGCTAAAAGATGGTTTTACTCAAAGGACATTTTTCTCTATATGGTCTTGTAAAGCTTTTGCACAAAGGTGAAGTAGCACCATAGAACTGAATATGTTTGACACTAATACAAGTCTTTTACCCTAACTTCCCTAGCACAAATTTTCCCCAGCAGTCTATGTGTACAAGAAGTGAAGCAAAACACCACACACAATTGTCCTCTTGAGGAGAAGAAAGAACAAGCGTGTGACACACATCAATTCCTGCTCCAATGGAAGGTCCTCTGATGCCACAATGATCAACACAATATGAGAGATTGAACAGAAGCACTTTTGCTAAATTGTCAAGTTTTTACTGCTCTTTTTCTGGGATCATGTCAAAAAGAGGTATATGGACCACTGAATATTATCCAAGAAAAGCCTATATGTAAATAAGCAATAAACGACAATATGCAAGTGCATATCACTGAAATTCTTAGCTTGTCCTTGTAGATAAAATATTACTGCTAACACATGAAAAGCAATTATTTATGTATTTTTTATATACATTCTTTTTTACAGTAGACCCATTCCACCTTATTGTATGCATTCTTTATGCATTTCTTTAGTACATATGTTTCTGTGTGTCTGGGGCTCAAAGAATTTTGGAACTTTTCTGCTTGTTGATTCATTCCAAGTTGTGGGCTTGATCCCATACTTAAGCAATGAATGTCAAATTTCAGAAAACAAGTGGTTTCTCTTTGCACAGTTACCTTCATACATGGAAACTTTCCGTCCTGCAAGTGCATTAAGGCTAACTTTGCCTGTTCCTCTGCTCTTGTGTTCTAGATTTGCTGCTTTCTGAGCAGCCCTGGCAATGGGATGGGGAAACATGAGCTGCTTTTGCCTGTAGGCAAGAGAAAGGAAAGTAATTAAATACCTTGTAGTGACCATAACATATTTGATAAGAATAGTTTTGGATATTAGGGTTCAGAATTCAGTTGTAGTCAACTTTTTTATATTTTACCTCTGACTCCAGAAAGGTCTCCTGAGCACTTTTCCATCAAAGAACTCAATAGTTCATTTTCAAGAGGAAAGGTGAGTTATAGGTCCATTAAACACAGAAAAATTCCATAATGTATCACAATTACAAAACCACCTGGGCTAGGCAGAGTAACATTTTGTTGAGTCACTGGATTAGACTCTTTAAGTTGATATGCTTATGTTCATTTGTAGATCACTTTAATAAATAAGCAGTATTCCAAACTGCATTTTACTATCTTTAGATAATTGCATAATATCAGAATTCTTTACAGTATTTATATGAGGAAATTGGCAATTCATAAATGTTAAATTATACTATTTCTGCCTGTTTGCCAATTGCATAAAATTACTGAACTGTATCTTGCAGTCATCAGAGTAACATAGCTTAAGCTACAGTAAATTCTAAAATAGAGCTGATCTGTGCTATGTGGCTTCACATAAACCTATGTCAAATACTGTTGTGCTAGAAGAGATCCTGTTACCTGTTATGTACGACGGATACAGTCATGTCACAACTGCAGTGCACTGGAGTAATTTGCTCTGCTTCTAAATGTTGATAAAGATTTACTATCTAATTGTTTTCAGATGGGTTCATATTCTTAGGAAAACTGCCTTTTGTGCTTGGTTTTGGACAACTACCTTATATCAGCTATTTTATAAAACACATTCCTGTACTTATTTATTCCCTGTGACTATCTTTTTATTTTTACATAATTTCTTTAATTACCCAGGCTGGGTTCAAAATATCTCTTTTTTTAAAATATAAATTATTTCCTTTTTTAAATGTTGTTGCCATTGCTTTGGTTTGTGGTTTGGTTGCTTTTTTTTTTTTTCCCCTGAATGTTGAATCAGTGAATTCATAAAAGCCCAGACCTGTGGTTTTGCAGCAATTCTGAGTTTGGGGTTTTTTAATGCCAGAGGAAAACCAAATATATAACTTTATAATATCAAAACAAATCCATTAGGATTTATAACAAATCTTAATGATCAAAGACCTGGATAGGCTGCTTTGGTATTCTTTATAGATGTTACTTGTGAGGCCACCTTCATTTCAAAACAGACATTATACATTGTGTCTCTTGGGAATCCAAACTATATTCCTTTTTCCCTGAAAAACAGAGATGGATATCTTTCAGACTTGGGTACTCCTTTACACAGAATTTTCTCATGGTTCTTTCCCCACCTTAGAAGCTCTGAGTTTCTTTGACAATAAAAGGAGACAGAACAGAATTTTTTTATTTTTCAATCTGGCTTCTTTTCTCACTTGAATGTGGTATCCAGATACACCAGTAATGAGCAGTGAAGCCCAGGCTGAGGCAACCAAGTCAGAATGTCGGCATATGGATTCCTCAAGCAATCTGGTTTGCAACTCTATTATTACGCTAAGAAACAGTACAGGGCACTTGACCCATCAATGTTACATCACACAGAGATTGCTCTCTGGAACTGATGATCATGATCATCTTGAATTTCCTTCAGTTACAGGCTGAGTTGGTAATTGCAGAAGTATTTTGTCCCATCCCATTAGCACCTTGTCAGGTAGCAGTGCTTTTGGAGGCACAGTATTTAAATTCTGTGGAGTTTGTTTGGCTTTTTTCTTTTGAATATGACAAAATTTAAATTTCAGTCTCACTTCTTGAATACAAGCATACAGTTAAATTCTCAGGCAGACATTTATTAGCATTTTGCCTTTGTAGCCATTTTCTAATCATTGTGCAGATTAAGTATTTCAGGAAGGAAAAATTTACTGTGATTTTTTAGCAAGTACCTCAGGCAATTTGCTGACATATATCAGTGCACTTGTCAAATGCTTTGACACAGATGTCTGGTTTTGGCAACTACAGAATTTGAATATCCTACCCTGTACATAGCTATTCATAGAGTCAATTCAGATCTGGTGTAGGTGGGTGCAACTTCATTGACTTCAGCTCTGAGGCAGTTGCCTGTACTCAAGCTGAATTTAGGCTTAGAGAGGTGTGCCAGAGAGTACTCAAAACAGTCCTCTAAGACCTATTGCTGTTTCTGCCTGTTTGGGAGGATGTGTTACAGATGTTTCTGGGCCATCATGGACAGCCATGGCAGTGATGGATGGTCTGGCCTCACCCTTCCCTTTCTCTTTAGGAGTGTAAATCTGGAGTCAAAGCCAGCCCTGGGTAGTGGTTCCACACATGTTCCAGTTCCAGTCCTTAGCCTCTGGCTATCACATTTCTTCCCTGGTTGGAGCTTGGAAGTTGGGATTCTGTATTTCCCTTTACAGACAGTTTCTTTGGCCACTGTAAATATCCCACATATGAAAAAGGCTCTTTATTCTCCCTCCAACCAGCCAGTCTAACTTCCTGCAGCTACAAATCACTAATGTTACTTACTTACCTGAGCTTTTCACTAGTTTTACAGCAGACATTGAGAAGAAAGATGTCTTTTTCGCCCTTAGAAGAACAGCCACCCCTAACTGTCACTGTGATGGATGTCCAGGGTGGGGGCACAGAGACTCTTTGTCGCCTCAGTTGGCCACAGTCACTTTGGGGGCCATTTGAGCTTCTACTCTGCTGCCCAAAAACTCTTCCAGGGAGAGTTTCACATTGTGAAGAGGACAGCAAGGAAATTAATAGCAAGAGGATCAGCCAATGTACCTGCTAATATTCCATAGATCTGTGGAGGCTAGTATTGCCTCTGCAGCT